CATTTCCCTTTGTATGTAAGAAGACACACATATATAGGTAGGACGAGCTGACCTTATGTCGGCTCGTGTTGAACTCATGTTACCAACCTAGCCATTGAAATCAAAGACCCTTTCCTGCTCCTACCTCGCTACTCATTCTCAAGAAGCTACCTCGAGTAAACTACCCTTTGGCAGTTGACCCGTAACACACGTGTCGACCCACAACCACTTCACTAGTAGTAGGTATGTCCTTATGTATGCTACAAACCCTTGCACCTTGCGATACCCAGATGTATCCGTCCGCTTCCTCTCGTACACATCTTCCTACATCGCCTCGGCGCCCGCCGTCCAGCGATGCGATGCGATCGTATACGGCGGGGGTGTCGTCCCGAAGTACTCCGTAAAGCTGAACGTGTCGACGTTAAGGAGCCGCATGTTGCGCTCAGGATCGCGATGATAGACATTGGAGAGAAGTCACTAAAGGAAAAGTAAAAATCGCAACGAAAATCTGTCCTAAACTTCTCGCATCTTCGCAACGCTATCTTGCTCCTATCAGGCGACGATATGCATGCAGGGTTGACGTCTTTAGAAGAGGCCGCACCAGCGGGCTTGCGCGGGGCTCAGCGCTTAGTCGTGTCGCTGCTATGACGGGCGGCTCCGCCCACCCGTAGCAGCTCCGAACGCTACTACTGCGAGCCAATCGTAGCAAAGTACTAATTACTATCATCATTTCCTTTGTCCTGCACATGAGATCGGTAACGTTCCGCCGACCTTTAATATACGCTGTATGATCGACGAGATAACGGATACAGCGACACAGATCCTTAATAGACTTCCGTCTGGCAGGGTCTGGAATGTGGCACCAATGACGCGAGTGTAAGGCGCAGACCGCACTACCCCAGCCGTTCACAGATTCCGGGGCAACAGTGCCAAATCTTGTCTCCATCCGAAGCTAATTCGAGCTGCCACGACTCTAGCGCTTGCGATCGCGGTCGCGCAATCTTAAATTCGATGAAGCAAGATTGACAACAGCGAGCTCTAAGCAATCCACCAGGTGCTGTAAACTTGCAGATCGAGTAGGAATGCCTCCGCTGGTCGCGATCACTAAGAAAGCTCGGATTTCGTGCGAAAATAGAATTGATTACCGCGTTCGTAAGACAAGAAAAAGGCGGTTCCAAGTTCTTCGATGCGATGCAGATGCGATGATGTTCGTTCCAAGTCTAAGAGGCCGGCGTGTTTGAAGAGCATCATTTGTATGTGGTGGCGCGGGTGGCGGTGTGCGCCGTACCAGCGCTTTGATGTCTGCGCTCAGTCATGGTAGGTGATGCCACGGGTCGCCGGGATCTCGCACAGACGTTTGAACACACGCACCACACACGCACACAGCAAGCTCGGGAGCACCAATCATGATGTTCAAGCTAGGGTCAACTTTCACGTGGGAGGTACATGACTCCTGCCATAAGAAGACATGTTTGGTGTGCGGCATGGCATGAACATGAATGAGATGTGTCGTCACCTTGTACAACTTGATAATTTGGTGAAACCGATTGTTGGGTAAGCATATATTCTATGTGCTACAATAAGGGCACGTACACCTCCTTCCGCAACGAGCAGGTGCAGTTGCGTCAGTAATGAATGCGTGTAACATTCCATATTTTGTCACAATGAGGTGTCACAACTCGACAAGTCTCGCGGGAGTTGAGGTCTTCATAAAATCAACGTTGCGCATCGTCGTCTTTTGGTCGTTCCTATAGAATGTGCAGAAGACGGCGGAGTCTCAACATTACTCTCCAATATTCCGTTTTCAAAGCCATCAACCGTTACACACATTTTCACGGGCCTCACTCACACAACCTGGTCGGAAATGGAGATGCTTGGCCAGAGCCTCAACATGGCGGCAAGCATTCTGACCATCGTCGCAACCCTAGTCGCGTTCGCCAGAGACATCCCTCGGCGTCGACGTCGAAGCAATGAGTACGTTGTGAAGCAATCATATAGCGATGATGAGTTGACTGATGACATCAACAGAGCTATGTGATAGCCATGTTTCGAAGACAACAGCGTGCTCTCTCGCATGATGATGCATCAGGTGAATACACCGAAGGATGGAACAGGCGGGCACGAGTCGAACATCTAGACCGTAGGGTTGGGCTTCATCGAGACAGACCGTGCAGTCCTCAACCCTAGACATCATGCGCATGCACCGTCGCCATACTTCATGCCCGTCAAAACACTACCATAAGGCCGTGAGGCGAAGCACATATCGTCTCACGTTCATGTAGCGCCTATATGATGAGAGATAGTGAGCGACGGTCAGGCACTTAGAAGAATGCAGATCATACCAGAGCTATAGAAAGCTGAAGCACAAGTAAAGATCTCCAAACGAGTGATGGATCGTGTCTCTGCGCGTCACGTCGACGGAAGCACGTAGTAAAGTCCAAGCACTGAGATTGTGAGTTTGCCAAGCATAACTAATTAGTGCTCCGATCATCAATTAAATCACCACATTCTAGCAGTTGGTGGTCGGTAAACCTCATGTCCTTCAATATGCGGTCCTGTGTATCTTCCTTGTACACTTAATGAATCGGAACGGGTCTGAACCACATTCAAGGGCTTATCAGTGGCATTGTTATCTACCGCCTGAGTTCTCGATCTGCGCTTCGCGATTGATCTCGCGTCTCGAAGTGCCCGCTCATCTCTTGCTTTCTCCAGATTCGCACAGCTCATCACCCTCGCTGTTCCGATGACTTTTGATCTCGTTGAGCGTCGTACTCGAGCTTCGCTGTTCGACCTTTGCAGAAACTTGTTGCGCCGCTCGAGCAGTACGTGCTCAGCGAATGAAGTTTCGACAGCTTTTGATAATTTCTGGACATGCTTCTGCAAGCGGCGCTGGGAGCCGCTGTCTAGGCCCTGTACATCACGTCGAATCACGTCGTGCAAGGTCAGAATGCCTGCAAGATCTACTGGAGTCACGGGTGTCGCAGGTATCATCGGAGTGGATGGAACGCTTGGTATAGACCACGTTCGTATATTGGCATCCGGCTGGGCCGCCGCATCTCCATTGACCGATCCTGCTAGGGTAGGAGGCGCAGCACTGCGCGGCAGATCACGAAGCACTCTTTCGGGACAGAATGGGAATAGACCTGCCTTCGCTCATCCAGCGCGGATGTTGCGGGGCGTGAACGCGATCTGACGCGCATGACAATACAACTTGGCAAAGTGTTCTTTGCCGATCGTTCCTACGCCGCCTCGCTCAAGCCGTTCGACCTGATCACGGTATGCCGCTTTGAGGGGACCAAAAATGGAGATGTCACACGGTTGCAGTTTATGGGACGAGTGGGAGGACAAGCGACAAAGTATGATCTGATGCTGAAGAGCGAACTCGAGGATGTCGAGGGTTTCATGGGTGCCAAAGCCGTCACAAATCAGCACACGCGGTCGCTGTCCCGCTCGGTCTCTCGTTTGCGGATCAAACACCAGACGGAGCCACTGCAGGCTGAGATATGAGTCTATATATCCGCTGTCGGAGTAGGCATAATGCCATCCAGGTGTAGGATGAGTCACCCAGTTCGCTCGGTGGGTGGCCGCGGGCCAGATGATCATCGGATGTAGATATCGCCCGTCAGCACTCATACACTCGACTGCTGTCACGGTCGTCCGCTTCACACGTGCGCCTCGGCAGCCGTGCCGGTTCGTTCTATCCATGATGACCCTCACAGAATTCAGCTTCGACAGCATTACACCCGTCTCGTCCATGTTGTACACGTTCTCCTGTAAGACTTCCGGGTTC